AAAAAAAAAACATGGCTTTAAGCCTTAATTGCATACAAACAGCAACCGTCAAGTTAGTCAATGAACTGCATAGACCATCGCTCCCTTTTTCGATATCTTTTTTTTCTATTCTCCTTAATAACAAGGTTCAAGACCGCATTGGTTCATATTCACTATTATTAAAAATTAAACTTCTTTTAAAGACTTGTCTAGATAAACTCTTGATGTGATCCGGGCGTAATTAAGGCTGAAAACATTATTGGCCTTTTGATGATATTACGATATTTGGAAAAATAAGGCGAAAAATATACTCATCATGACACTTGAATTACAAGTCTTACGTAAATTACCTCATAACATCTGTCATACAAGGCGAATAAAAAGGAAGATATTTACAGGTTAGAATACAATAGTCCCCCCCCTTGCCCATTTCCCCCCTTTTTTATTAGCGCCAAAGGTCACGTTATGTTTAGTGTATGCATGCAACCTTGACATCGGAAACAATAAACTTTACTATAAAAACAAAAACTATTTTATTTTATGAATTAGCTTAAAAAGGATGGGAGTTTTATGCGAGAAAACAAGATCCGAAACTTATTTGGGAAACGATATTATGGAAATGAGAAAAGATGAGGATCAGGGTAAGGAACATCATAAAGGTAGCCCGTCTAATTCAAATGGTACACATGACGTAAAAGACACATTGACTATAAAGAATCAGGCCATGCAACAATTTAGATCGAGATCGATAGTTTAATTAGTAGGAAAAAAAAATAGATTCGTTCTTAGAGACTATCATCACTTGACCCTATGTCTTGGCCTACTATAGATCAAAATAGAACGAAAAATATTACATACTTTTATGCACTAGCTTCATTTTTAATAAAGGCGGAAATAACTATTCATTCATGCAAGGCAGCTTAGTACACATTAATAAGGAAATAACATCATGCAGATCTTTTATACCTGCATAAAGCTAACAGCTAGTATATTGCTTAATGCCATTCCTGGACAAAATGTTGATATAATTACATGATGTGAAAAAGGAGTCCGTGAAAAGGAAATATTATCTCCTTATGAATGCATCTTATCGGAGTATAATTCACACATGGAGAAGTTAAAAGACAACCCTCACGCTTATAGATCAGGCATAACAGTATCTCTTAACATAATGCTCTATCATTAAACATAAAAGAAGCTTTTGGCTTCGCTTTACCCTTCTTATAAACAATCTCATAGTAATCTTAAAAGTCATTCTTCAGTAAAAAAAAATAATGCTTAGAATTTTATCGTGGTCCCTTGTCTTTTTTTTTTCTTCTTTTTTCTTCTTTTTTTTTTGCTTATCTTTATTTCAAATCATCAATTGTAGAATTGCTGGATTGATGTAACACGTTGCGCAATCATATTTGTTAAACAGCAACATCTGTCAAGTTACACTTCCCTTACACAAAGGTTCCCTTTTTTAGCGTATACCTCATTTTTATTGTATTTTCTTAAATCTGCTTTTAGCAGTCAAGCAGTATTGAAGATCATTGATAAAAGTCTTCTTGTTCGCTTTCATATTTTAAACCAGAGACAAAGGTACAAAGGGCGTGGCACCCTTTGCAGATTCTACCCAGTTTCGAGCAAATTTCTTGGAAGTGGGAGTATTTGTTGCTACACTTTATTCAGGAATTATTCGCACACTGATAAAAAAAAATGGTGATTTCAGACAACAAAAAATAATAAAAGAGCCCATCAGAAGCAGAAGAATGAGATATAAAAGAAATGATTAGTAAATCAGTTATTACATTATAAAGAAGAGAGTTTATGAGAAAAAAGAGAAGCAAGAAAAGTGAGTAAAATTATAAAGGAATTATTAATATCTAACCCAAAGTGCATTAAATAGGGCTGGCGATAACCAGTCCGGAAAGCGCAAAGAAAGAAAGAAAAAGAGAAGGAAGCATAGAGGGCATAGAGGGCATATAGAGAGCTCGGCTTGAATGATACTTACCTACTCTGTTTCTTTTCTCATTCACTCCAACTCTAACCCAACACTTTGGGGGCTGCTTCCTTGCTTTACACATTTTGCTAACTAAAAGAAGATGAATTCTTTTGAAACAATAAAAAAGAATTGACGTATACCGTAACCCAGGCTCCAGAACCACATCCAGCATTCACAATCGAAACTCCTCTCTTAAGATCCAAGGTGTTTGTGGCGCTTGGTGATAGGTCATAATGGAATGGTTAATATATATATATATATATATACGTACAAAGCATAACTTAATATATGTACTTCAAACAGCTCTTTGAAAGCAAGGTGTTGCTAATTGTTTAAAGGTTGTGCAAAATGGTATTTCTCATGATTACTTTCTTGCTTACCCCTACCAATCTTTGTTGTTCCTCTTCATCTTTAGGTAGCCAATAAGTTGATGGCTGAACTTTATGAGATTCTCTCTTTGACAACAATACCGTGCCTTTTTCAGCATCTGTATTATTTAAAGATGCTTCTTGTCATGGCTAATGCAGAAAATGATCAGCAGCAATTCATTGTATGCCAACCAAGTACTTACCGATATACTAACCTTTTATTAGAGGGAAGGTTGATTCTTTATGAATTAGTTCAGTATTTTATTTTGTATACTTAATTAAAACATCCGATAGCTGCTTTGTTTTTTGATATGAACAAAGCAAAGTATTGCTGCAAACGGACTCACTAGCGTGCATTTTTCTCCTTGTAGGTAAACTGACTAAGTCCTATATATTTATTGATCACTTTATGCCTCAGGTAAACATAACACCTCTAACCCTTGATTATTCTTTATTTGATACACGCAAAAGTATAAATCACATAGGATACGCTGATAGCAGCAGACACAGTCAAAGTATATTTATTTAAAATTCGCTTATCCATCCATAGCTATTAAGAAGCAACCTTTTGGAGTAACGACCGCATAAAAGACAGAATAACTACAAGCAGTAGTTATTCATTTCTTAAATTCATTTATGAATGCCTGTCGTTCTTTTTCATTTTTGAGTCCTACTATTCCAGAGGGCTCAGGAAGAGAACTCTTGACACAAATTTGACCCAGTTTCCAAGCAAGTTTCTCTGTTGCACTTGTACATGCTGCTTTTATTTGCTTTAGTATCTAGGAAAATAAACCTTTTTATCCCTTGCTTGTATCTGCATGCCCAAATCCTTTCTCTATTATTCTTGTATTTCCGGCTTCTCTTAATAGTCTTCCCAGTTCTCTACCGATGAGAGGATTTTGATCTCGAACGCTGCAAATGATATGAGCTTCTTTTTTATAAAAAAGAAATAAGATATCTTTTCCTTATATCTCTGGTTCAATACTTACTGATTTATAAAAGGTATCAATTTTTTGTTCTAGTATTTACACATGCATTGTTTATTATAAAAATAAAAAAATGATCTTCTGGGCCCTTACCTCTGTATTAGGCCCCAAGAGTTTCACAAAACCCCTGGCTTGGTGACACGCAATGGTTCCTTGACAGCAATTGGCCATTCGTCTGGGCGGAATGTCAGAATAAACAATCGCATATAGACACAACCAAACGAATTATCTAAGGAAGAAAGCACTTTAGCGACATTTCCAATATTAAATGTAAACTACCTGGGCATAACATTTCAAATGATGACATCAGCTATATCACAACCATGATAAGTACATTTAGGATAATCAGTAATCATACCCTTTTGAAGAGTGTTGATATGGTAAAAAGCAAGCATAATAAAAAGCTCGCCATGGTCCATACACCTGGTCTACAGCCTATGTCAAGTACAGATATTTCCCGTTCTTGAAGTCCAGATTTTTTAATACACTTGGTAAGAAGTTCCTGAATAAGAATGTTGACTTCTATTGACTTTTTCTATTATGTCTCTGGTATTACCTTTCAAGTAGCTCTTTATAGGTAACGTGTTGCTATGGAAATGATTTAGTAAATAAAAGTAAGAATGAGGACTATCAAGTAAGATTACGCCTGTAAGCCTCATCTACTCCTCATCGTCTTTAGGTAACCGGTGTGTCGAGTTATGAAACTTCCTCTTTGAAGGAATGCTAATATCATTTCTGTTATTACGTTTAACAATTTCTTCTAACATAGTTGCAGGCTTTTATTCTGGCTTTGCTATCAGTTAATATACAAACTTTCTTTGCTAAATAACAAGTGGGTGCCTAAAAATGTTCTTAAACAAGTAGTGAAGAAGAAAAAGAGAGAGGAAGAAAGGGGAAGAGAGAGCAGCGGCTGACCTTTTGTTGCCCACAATTGCTTGTAACATTCTTATTGAGCTTATGTTTCGTTTTGCGTTGCAATTATTTATGACATGAGTGTGGCGCTCAAGAAAAAAGGAAGTAGTAGAGTAAATCAGAAGCATATAAAAAGACTTGAAAGAGCCACTGACCATATGAGAAAGAAAAATAGCGATTAGAGCAAGTCAAATTCTCCTCTTTTCACTTACATAGACACATGTCAGCAGATATTGAGGAGGTGTAGTAGTATTCGCCATGTAATTTATGAATACAAGTGGATTCGAATGGGCTTCTTCTTAGTCCTTTATTAACAAAGAAAGAGGTTCGTGGTAAAAGAGTTTGATCTTTAAATAAGTGCTGTCAAATACAATAAATCAGTATTATGAGCCTGATATACTGTTTATAAGGCGACAAAGAATACATAATCTTCTTTGATATAGAAGTAGAAATAGAAAGTTTTATCGATTAAAACACGTTTATTGTGAAGAAGATTTGCTGAATGCTATAGAATTCTGTAAGTGTGCCCAAATCACTTACTTTCTTTGGTATCATAATTGTATCCTACTTAAGCTTGTAAGAATGGCCCCGAAAGTAGTAATCTACTATACGGTGAACAGATAAATAAATGGTTGTTGCTTGTAATACACACAACCATTTGGACACACTGGATGAAAAGCTGTCATGTGCAGTAAATTTTCTTAAATAAAGAATCGTATGTGATTCTCTTGTTATCAGAGACGGCTTTACGTAATATTGGTGAAAATAACCTTTGCCTTTTCTAGTTATTGTGATATCATTTTAAAGGAAGAGCCCATAAAGAAAAAGAATAAACATACAACAGATACTCATATAAAGAATAAAGAGGTACTCAAATTGACACTGCTGTTTTTTTGTATAAGTCACATGTTTCATGTACAACACATTTACATTTGAAAATGAATAGAGTAAAGTCTGGTTCTTAGAATAGGTAACAGCCAACAGCTACTATATTCGTAAACTCTACATCCTAAATTAGTTGACATTTTTTCTGTTTAAGGAAGTTCAAGCTGTGAGACAACATGGAGAAATGATATTCCTAGAAACACTGTCAAGTTAAAAATAGTTCATGTGTAAAAGTCATCGATCGAACAGGTTCATAAACCAGATGCCTTGCCTTAAAAATGAAACTTGTAGTATTGTATCTTTTATGGTTGTAATTAACAAAAGAATAATCAAACATCACGCCTTGATATTTGCTTAGATAAGGTAAATTCGATAACAATAAAAGCGGAAACAGACTACTACAAACTGAGTAGCGATTTCTTTATAACATAACCGATGGCTCTCTTTTTGCATAAAAAATAAAAAGTATCCTATTAAAGCTTCTGTATCAGGGGTAATGTTATTCCATAGTCTGTTTGTAGCCATGCGGACTATTCCTTTTGTTCTTGAATTCAAAGTGATAAGTCGTGTACATTCATAGAAAGGATATGGCTAATCGACAGACATATCTGGTGGTGCAGGTACCTTGATTTCGTGATAGATAAAAAAAAGACATTTGGCGGCTACTCTTTTATCCTTTACGGTATCGCAGAATGACAATGGTAACAAGTGATTTTTCAGCCGTAAATACTTCTGACTATCGGATACATCCTTATATAGAACTTGTCATAGTCTACTTAAAAGAAAACATAACAAATGGCATTTTACGTTATTCAATTTTTCGGGTGAGCAAGAAGTGGGTTCCGGTCCATGTAAATGATACGATCTCGATATAGGAAAACAAAATTCATCTTTATTAAAAGCTCCTCCTCTCTCGACTGATATAATCGCAGCGGATATCTCTATGATCTACCAGGAGTAAAAAAAAAAAAAAAAATAACAAGTGAAATATGAGTGAAAATCATGCCTAAAAATCATCCCACTTTTGCTACTCTCAATAAAGAAGGTAGCACTTGCTTTGAAACACTTTATTTGACATAACTCTTGCTTATTCTACTATTATTGTTGTCATGGAAATAAATAATTCTCTTTTCTGTGTTATTATGCGTAGTTCATTTCTGCACTTTCGCAGCAAATGAAGAGCAGAAGCAGGAATTCAACGGATCAGATTAAGGAATGGATGCTATAGAGATTTGATTGGCTGAAATTCAATTTTCACTCTAGGCCCATTTTATGTTTCCCTTTTGAAGTTCAAGCAACTTGGTTTAGGGTTCCGACAACAATCAGCCATTAAAACATTGTCTCGTGTTATCGGTTATCAGTCATATATCTCTCTCAGCCAAGACTCATCCAATATCGTGGTAAGCAATGATAATCGCGTTAAAGAGGCTATGTGAATGTTTGAATGCGTATAGGAGAAAGTGTCATGGTGTGAATTAGAATATGGTTAAGGTCGTACATGTCATGCTGATTACGTCTGTCCTATCTTTTACATGAAACTAGAAAAAGACTCAAGTTATAATATTTCATTGGTATACATTAAGAATGAATGGCCCTTAAATAATCAAAAGATGAATGTAGCGACCAGAAAGATATTATTGATTACAAAAATAGAAATAAGAAAATTAAAAAAGAAAGACATGCCTTTGAATAAAAATAATTAATGATCAAAACCCTGCTGATATATATCCTTGTCATGCATCAACCAGAACTTTATGTCTGTTTACTATGAAAAAATTTTAATTCTATTAGACAAGCCAAATCGCAGTAAAGATAACCGCATTGATGATTTTCATATTCCGATGTTTTCGGGCACAGTCGTAGTATCACACTATGAGGCATTGATGTGTGTAGATATGACATAAAAAAAAAGACTATAAAAGAAACATGATAATTTACGTCAATAGAGAATTATACTTCTTTCTTTCTTCAATTTTTAAAAACTTTACAAACAATGCCTTCAATTAAAATCGGTCAACATCTTCTCAACCGTCTTAAGGAAATCAACATTGACGTCGTCTTTGGTGTTCCCGGTGACTTCAACATGGTACGTATAACTTGCGTTTATTATGCATTTCGGCTTTATTGATTTTTTATCATTAGCCTTTACTCGATCTCATCGAAGATGATCCTGAACTCACTTGGGGTAACAATGCCAACGAATTGAACGCTTCTTATGCAGCTGATGGTTATGCTCGTATCCGTGGTGCTGGTGCTCTTATCACCACATTCGGTGTTGGTGAATTATCTGCTGTCAATGGTGTTGCTGGTTCTTACGCCGAAATGCTTCCTGTGATTCATATTGTTGGTACTCCTTCTACCAAGTCTCAAGCTGCTGGTGCCATGCTTCACCACTCCCTTGGTGATGGTAACTTTGATGTCTTCTTCAACATGTCTTCAATGATTGCTTGCGCTTCTGCCCACTTGAAGAAACAAACTGCCATTGCTGAAATTGACCGTGTTATTTCTCAAGCTCTTCTTTCTAAACGAACAGGTTACATTGGTATCCCTATCGACCTTATCTTCTGCGAAGTAGAGATTCCTGACTCTCTTCCTCCTGTTCAAACCCAACTCCCTAAGAACCCCCCTCAAGTCCAAGAAATTGCCTTAAGAGTAGTCTCAGACGCTATTTCCAAGGCTAAATTCCCTGTTATCATTGTCGATGGTTGCGTTCTCCGTCACCGCTGTCAAAAGCAAGTCCAAGAATTCATCGAGCGTTCTGGTTTCCCTACCTATGTGGCTCCCATGGGTAAAGGTGCTGTAGATGAAAGACTCCACTGTTTCCGTGGTTGTTATTCTGGTAATGTCACACTTGAAGCCGTGGGTGAAGAAATTAAACAAGCCGACTTGATCATCGAAATTGGTTCCATCAAGTCTGACTTCAACACTGGTAACTTTTCCTACGCACTTGATCGCTCCAAGACAATCACTCTCCACTCATTTGCCACCATTGTCTTCTGCGCTGAATACCAAAAGGTTTCCATGATGGAATTCATTCCTCTCTTGACCCAAACTCTTCCTGAACAACCTCGTGTCTTCGATTTGGGTCCTCGCCACAAGCCTTTACCTATTCAGCCCGGTACTGAAATTACACACAACTACTTCTGGCAAAAGGTTCCCGAATATATGGATGAAAACGCTATTGTATGTGCTGAAACAGGTACTGCTGAATTTGCTTCCTTAAACATGGATGGTCCTGTAGGCACCACTTATATCACTCAAATTCTTTGGGGTTCCATCGGTTTCTCCGTTGGTGCTGCTGTTGGTGCTGCCATTGCCGATCGTAATCGTCGTGTGTATCTCTTTGTTGGTGATGGTTCCTTCCAATTGACCTGTCAAGAAGTCTGTGTTTTCCTTCGTCATGGTTTGACACCTGTCATCTTCCTCTTGAATAACGATGGTTATTTGATTGAAAAGCTTATCCATGGTCCTCACCGTGCTTACAACAACTTCCAGATGTGGGAATACAGTAAGACCCTTGACTACTTTGGTGCTCATCTCGAAAAGAACAGTAAGATGGGTTGTCCCAAGGTTGGATTCGAAGGCAAGGTTGCTACTCGTGATGAATTCGAAGAAGCTATGAAACAAGTTCAAGCCAATCCTGACAAGATCCACTTCCTTGAAGTCATCATGCCTCAATTTGATGCTCCTCGTGAACTCGAACTCCTCGTTGCTAACTCTGAAAATCGTTAAAAAAGATTCTAGTATATAATTCTAGTAACATGTTCATATACATCATTACATTTATTATTCATCATGCCTCATATACTCTTTAAAATAAATTTTGTATACATTTGTCATAAATTTAGTATTTGTCAAACAATAACTCTTGCAAAAAGGAAAGCGATTGTGAATAGATAAACTCTAAAGGCTCGTTCTTTTATTTAATTGAGTTAACCATATGTTTATTGCAGTTTATTAATTGACTTTAGATGCAATTATTTGTATTACATCACTTATTGTGCAGCCAACGTAGCTTATTTTGTTGAATAAATAATATCCAAATATATCCCTCTGACATCAATAAACGTGTTAATATTCGCAAGAGATATACGTTCAGTAATTGGAAACATATAAAAAAGAAAAAACAAAGAGTGGTGATCTTTTACAATAAAAAGCATATTTACACATTGTTTTTTAATTCATTTAAAAACTTTTGAGCGCCTTCGACAATGAGCTTGTGTTCAGCTATATGAATACGATTCTCGAGATCTTCAAGAGAGTCAGTTGGATAGATGGGAACAACCTGTTGAAGGATGACTTGTCCTTTGTCAACATCTGCAATCACTTTGTGAACCATGATGCCTGTGTGTGTAATCTCTCCCTTCTTGTAAGCCTCGTAAGCTCGTTCAATGGCGTGAGCACCGTCGAATTGGCCAGGTAAAGCAGGATGTAAGTTGATGACATTGTCGTTAAAGAAGGATAAAAACTCAGGTGACAAAATATGCATCCAACCAGCCAAGACCACAAGGTCTGGCTTACATTCCTGAATGGCTTTTGCAACGTGAATATCAAAGTCGACGCGTGTCTTGCCTGCGTCCTTAAATTGTTTGAGTGAAAACGTTTGTGTGGGTATACCGGCCTTCTTGGCACGTTCAAGACCAAATGCGTTCTTTCGGTTAGAGATGACATTAACAATTTTTGCTTTGAGTCTGCCTTCTTGAGTGGCATCAATAAGAGCTTGAAGGTTAGTGCCTGAGCCGGAGATGAGGACAACGATAGTAGGAAGATCGGTCATTGTTTTGAATAACGGGAAGACGAGGGGAGAGAGGGGAACGAGCCAGAACGTGATCAAGTCATAGATGTGGCTTGTTTACAGATCAGATGTCCTTTTTTTCCTCTTATTGCTCTGTTATTGGATTAATTACAGAGTTTTGGTAATGAGTTTCAATCATGTTACCGCTCATCTCCAACACCACGTTACTACATTGCAAATAACGTAAAAATCTATTTCCGATAAGTGGTTTTTATAGATACTACAGAGTATATTTAGCCGTCTGGGTGTTGCTTAGCAGCCATGGTCACACCAACATGTTGCCACGTTTATCCGTCGCTTGTGAAAATGAGTTATTTATTGTCACAAATTACCTTTTATAAATGACAACCAATTAGGTAATATTTAGTTATTTTAGTATCTTAGTGAAGAATGAGTTTCCGTTCAGTGTAATTTAAACTTTTTACTAACCTCCGAAACGCGCAGCTTCTACTCTATAAATAAAGAGGGAGGAGTTCCTGAAAAGCAAGTTTTCTTTTTCTTTTTTCTTTACATTTCACAAAAAATTTTAACGACAAGAAAAATATGAACGGATACAAAATTATCACTTACGTTTCAATACTTGTTAATCAAGGCTATTCTGAATCAGATTTCTGTCCTGGCTGTGGTATCGATATCTCTCAATTCACTCATGATGACTCCTGCCCTTATGTTAATAGGTCCTGATACCAATATCAGGACATGTAAATGATACGCCCATACACCCACATCACGTCCATACAAACACAAACAAACACATACAACCATTATTATAGAATTATTATAGAACCAATTATGCCCTTTGTAAATATGGAAATAAAATACCCTCCTTTGTGTATATTATTATTGTTACTTATGGCTAGTGACATTTCTCGCATATTTTACATATTCTTTACCCCATAAACACACCTTTGCGCACAGCAAACAATAAAAGAATGATGATTGCATAACAGTTCCTTTTGTCTTAAAATGATTGGACAGTGACGTCTTTTTTTTTCCGGTTTGGAAATTTCAAAAAGTATAAAAATTGCACTTTTTCCCTTTCTATGTATTAAAAACATATAGAAAAGGGGGTGCATTTAAAAAGCCACAGATGACAACAAGGTAACATAAATTAAATACAGCTCTCTTTTTCTTTTTCTTATGCGTCTTTAGGCTCGATCGACTCGTCCTTTTATTAGATACAGGCTCAACAACAGCTGTCAGACGTACAGCAGCCCAACAGTTGGGTGAAATTCAAAAGCAGCATCCTGGTGAACTATACAACTTATTATCAAGAGTAAAATAAAAAATGATTGTCATATCATACAGAAAAGTTGACTTTGCCATAGGTCGCTGTCCACTTGAGGAGCAAAGCGTGGGATACACGTTTAGCTGCTGGTCAAGCACTGGAAGCCATTGCTGCTAACGTACCAGCATGGGATCCTTCGGATGAAGATGAAATTGCCATAAAAATAGACAACAACGAGGAACAACACAAGTTGCGTTTTAGTGAATTCGATTTAGCATCTGTTCTTCAACATGGAAAACTCTTACTTGGCTCAGCTGGAAAAGAGTACGATATTGACTTTTCAGACATGACACCACAAGAACGACTAGAGATCCAACGACGTAATCTAAAAGAACGACTGGGTTTAGCAAGTCAGTTTATGGATGGTATAAGATTCAATATGTATTAGATAACCATTATAACCCCATGCTTTATCATAGTCGATCTCCTAGAGGATGCCGATTTGGACACACGCTCCAAAAAAGAAAAATCCACACCTGTTCCATCTCCTTCCGCTTCTACTACATCTACTTCACCTGCTACAACAACAACAACAACAACTAATTTAATGCCACCTACACCTGCTATAGCAGAGATCAACATGGCGGGCTTATCGGCCAGGGAACGAAATATGCTGAAACGTAAACTAAAGTCAGAATCTAAAATGAAAAACAAAGCCGAAAAGTAAATGTATACCCATGATATATGTGCGTACACAGAATGTCCAAGTGTGATTAATTGTTATTTATAGAGTACGTATCATGGACGTGAAAAATAAGTCAGATCATCCTGTACCAAAACCAGTTAAAATAGAAAAAGAAGAATTTGACATTACCGCTCAACCACAGTCCAATAAGTTTGTTGTAGAGGCAAAGAAGCCAAGCCCAGCAGACAATGCAGCAGATGAACCTCAGCATGATTGGCCATTTAAAATGATTTGTGAGCACTTGTGCTTAGATCTCTTTGATCCTGCTTGGGAGATTCGTCACGGTGCTGGTATTGGGCTGCGTAGCATTCTTAAGGCACATGGTGCCGGTGCTGGCAAAAAAGGTAATGTTGACGTGATATGAAAAAGAAAGTGTCCTGACATGACCACATGTGTGTAGTGGGTTATAAAGAAAAGAACCAGGAGCTACATAATGCATGGTTAGAAGATTGTGCTATCAGACTGTTATGTGTATTTGCCCTCGACAGATTTGCAGACTTTGTCTCTGACCAGGTTGTATGTCCTGTTCGTGAAACATGTTCGCAAACATTGGGCGTTGTATTGCAGTACATGACACCAGAAGCAGTTGGAAAAGTACATGATAATCTATTAAAACTTATCAATCAGCAAGACCCAGCCTTTGCTGGCAAATCAATCTGGGAGGTTAGGCATGCGGGATTACTTGGCCTTAAGTACACAGTTGCGGTTCGAAAGGATCTAGTAGAGATGCTTGTCGAAGGCACAACAGGGGCTATCATCTTAGGCTTACGAGATCATGACGACGATGTTCGTGCAGTGAGTGCTGCGACACTTTTACCCATCACCTCTGAATTTGTACGCCTTAGTTCCAGGGAAAGAATCCGCGATGTCATCTTGACATTATGGGACTGTTTGATCGACCTCAAGGATGACCTAACAGCTTCAACTGGTGCTGTCATGGACTTGATTGCCAAGATGTTTGAACAGCTAGGTGTGATGGATATTGTACGTGAGAACTTTAGCTTAAATGATCTTGTGCCCAGATTGCATCCTTTCTTTCGACACACCATTTCGGGTGTGCGCATGGCTGTCTTGAACACCCTATTGACCTTTTTAGAATGCGGTACAGCCTCAGAGTGGATCGACGAACGTGTTTATCGTTTAGTATTTCAAAATATGATTGTAGAAGAAAAACCCGACATTTTAGAAAAATCACTTCAAGTTTGGAGTTCTTTAACTATTGACGGCAAAGTCGAGAATCAACTTGTTTTGCAAGGAACACAAAACTGGCTTGGAAGCTGGTTTGAAATTACCATGACGCCAATCGGCCAACCACTAGATACAGCCACTTATTTTTACAAGCCCCCAGGAGCGTTTGGTCTGGGCGGTGGAAGCGCCCTAATGGATAAAGGAGCGACAAAGAAATCAAAAAAGACAGTAAACAAGGGTATTCCAGAAGATGTTGTACGTGGCAATCTGTTAGAAGAAAGTCATAACTTAGATGCAGGTATGATTGCTCAAGACTTTTCTCTTGTTACGATGGACCAAGTCATGCGCTGTCGTATTGCGTGTACCAGTGCGCTTGGCATGGCTATGAGCACCTGGCCTGATGATTCCATGGAGCTGTCTTATCAGGATGTGCTTTTGAATCTTCTTAGCTCGCAATGGGCATTGAAACGTCAATTGGGTGCTATGGCTGTTGAGGAATGGGCCAAGGCTGTCTTAAAGACAAGATACAACGCAGACGATATTATCCACGCACCCCCAGAAGCTATTCTTGCCAATACGCACAATTTCCCCAAGACTTTGTCTCAATCCATGATTGCTAATCTCGAAAATGCTCAGCAGCAAGCTACAAACTTCTATTTTGAGCTCGTTCATGTCCTGAAACGTATTCGTGCTGAATGCCAAAACTTGTTAAACGCATTTCACTCGGAAGCCAAAGTACCTTTGGATCAAATTCCTACTTTACCTACCCTTGTGCCTGGTGAGGCGCTTCCAGAACAGGGGCCTCTCTTTACCGTCGAGACAGCATCCGCTGTGATCAGCGAGATGTTTGATCAGTTATTGACCAAAGTCCCTAAAGGCAAGGGCCGTGCCGCCTTACTTAAGTCGATGGAAGAACGACAGCGTCGTGTAGTTGCATCTATGGGATACTTTGAGGAACTGAAACAGAAGATCGAAATCCACGTTTACGCAAGCACTGCAGGTGCTGTGGTCGAGCTTGGTGTACTGCCCGCCAAATTGAACCCAGTGATTCGTAGTGTGATGAATAGTATCAAGTATGAAGAAAACATAGACTTACAACAACGGTCGGCTGCTACGCTTGCCAATCTTGTGGCTCTTTGTGAACGTTCCCACCAAAGCCGTACTAGCCCTAATGACAAGATTGTAAAGAATCTGTGTACTTTCCTTTGTGCTGATACGACCGTGACACCCTTATTACAGGATAATCAACTCGAATCAGGCATCTTGTCTATTCAAAAAGAAGATACAACAAGCAAAAGTAAGGAGTCCAAAGAACTGACCCCTGAACAAAAAGATGCACAGCTTACAAAGCGAGGCGCTGAAATTACCTTACGAGAGCTCTGTAACCGCTTTGGCCCCAGTGTGTTTAATATGGTTCCTAAACTAAAGGAATGTGCTAGTCAAAAAATCATCGAGATATTCCCTGAGCAAGGCATCGAGCAGGCAGATAAAGTGATTCGACAAGATTTTCAAATCGGACAGGATGTGATTGACTCCTTGACTGTCTTGACCATGGTAGTACCTCATCTTTCCGAGAAGTTATGGGACGATGTGAGTAACATTGTGCCTTATGTCTGCCGATCACTGCAATCTTGCTATGCCGTTATACGCACCATGAGCGCCAAATGCTTAGCAGCCATCGCTAATGTGATCACTGACAGAACGATGCATATGATCGTCGAACAAGTCCTACCTCATCTCAGTAATCCACTCAATGTGCATCACCGACAAGGTGCAGCTGAACTTATCTATCACCTTGTACAGCTACTGGATACCAAGATCTTGCCCTATACAATCTTCTTAATAGTTCCTATCCTTGGTCGCATGAGTGATCCTGATGAGTCTGTTCGTCTTATCTGTACCAACTGCTTTGCCTTGCTTATCAAGCTTGTACCTCTTGAAGCAGGTATTCCTGACCCTCCAGGCATGTCTGCAGAAATGCTCGCGCATCGTGATGAAGAACGCCGATTCTTATCACAATTGCTTGATAGCTCCAAGGTTGAAAATTACGAAATCCCAGTCAAGATCAAGGCAGAACTTCGCAAGTATCAACAAGAAGGTGTCAACTGGCTCGCTTTTCTCAACAAATTCCACCTGCACGGCATATTGTGTGATGGTAAGTACTTTAAAAAAAAGGCTTGGAACATAGGATACTGATATGATGAGGGTTTAGATATGGGTTTAGGTAAGACGCTTCAGTCTATCTGTATCCTTGCTGGTGACCATTATACAAGAGCACAAAAATACCAAGAAACACAGTCTCCTGAGTTTGCGCATTGCCCATCTCTGGTCATCTGTCCACCAACCTTGACCGGGCATTGGTACCATGAAATCCTAAATTACTGTGATAATCTGAAACCATTACTTTACACAGGAGGCCCCAATGATCGTAAAAAGTAAGCATATACAGCCTGTACTAACTGCAGTACTCATTGCTTCTTTAGAATCCGTGCCTCGTTTAATAATTATGATATAGTCATCATGTCCTATGATATTATTCGTAATGATATTGACGAACTAGAGCCTCTGCACTGGAACTACTGTATTCTGGATGAAGGACACATTATCAAGAACGGCAAGACCAAGATCACAAAAGCGATTAAAACGCTGAAATCAAATCATCGTCTTATTCTCTCTGGTACACCTATCCAAGTGAGTAACAACAGCATTTTGAAGATAAAAACTCATAACCCATACGTATTTAGAATAATGTGCTTGAGCTATGGTCCTTGTTTGACTTTTTGATGCCTGGTTTCCTTGGCACAGAGAAGGCGTTCAACGATCGTTTTGGCAAACCTATTCTCGCAAGTAAAGATAGCAAGAGCTCATCAAAAGAACAGGAAGCGGGTGCACTGGCATTAGAAGCTCTACACAAGCAAGTACTACCGTTCTTGCTGCGTCGATTAAAAGAAGACGTATTACATGATTTACCGCCCAAGATCATTCAGGACTACTACTGTGAACTGAGCGAACTGCAAAAGTCTCTATACGAAGAATTTGCAAAATCTCAAGCACGGAGCAGTGTAGAGGACGATCTGGCGCCACAAAAGACGAATGCTTCCAAGGGAGCGACCCACATCTTCCAGGCATTACAATACCTTCGCAGGCTATGCAATCATCCTTTATTGGTTGTGAATGAAAAATATGCCAATTACAACAAAGTGCAAGACTTTTTGCACAAGTCCAACACAACCTTACACAGCATTCAGAACGCACCCAAGCTGCAAGCACTGAAGCAGCTGCTCGGAGAATGTGGTATTGGAGTAACCAACACAGAATCAGAGTCAGATCCAGCAGCTATGGCCATCGGAGCCGTGAGTCAGCATCGTGCGCTTATCTTTTGTCAATTGAAGCCAATGCTGGATATTATAGAGAATGACTTGTTTAAAAAGTTGATGCCAACGGTGAGCTATCTACGATTAGACGGGTCAGTAGACTCAAATAAACGACATGAGCTCGTTCAAAAGTTCAATGCGGATCCATCTATTGACGTATTACTGCTGACGACGCATGTAGGTGGGCTCGGCCTTAACCTTACAGGTGCAGATACTGTAATCTTTGTTGAACATGACTGGAACCCGATGAAGGATCTCCAGGCAATGGATCGTGCACATCGTATTGGACAGAAGAAAGTAGTGAATGTCTATCGATTGATTACTCGTGGTACCTTGGAAGAAAAAATCATGGGTCTCCAAAAGTTCAAGCTCAATATTGCTAATTCAATTGTGAATCAACAAAACTCTGGGTTACAGAGTATGGATACGGATCAGATCCTTGACTTGTTTAATATTGGCGGTGATAATGAAGCCAAGAAGAAGCAGCCCAAAGATAATGTATCAGCTGAAGGATTGGGAGCTGCTAAAGCAGTCTTGGAAAATTTGGAGTCGCTATGGGATGAAAAGGACTATGAGGAAGAATATAACATTGATAGTTTTATTAACAGCTTAACGTAAATTACATTTTCTATGTAGAATTTTTATAAATAAATAAAAACAGTGAACATATTGCTCAATGACAGTCTAAAAAGAAGATTGAAAAGACTGTAATTTAAGTACTTTTTGTATTGAGGTAGAAAAAGGACTCTTCGAGCCGCGCTTTTTATTGGAGAATTTTATAATTATTATGTCTCTAGGCTTTTCGTGTGGAACTCTTGGCAGTCTTCTTACTCTTACTCTTTGCACGGAAATTTGAACGCTCTTGTTTGGGTAACCATCGTTCTGGATCAGGTTGAGACTTGGAGTCCATTTTTTTGGGCAATAGTGGCTTTCTCTTCTTCTTTTGCTTTGGCTTCTTAACAAAAGTACTACTCATGGTATTAATAAGGCTGATCTTGTTATGTTTAGCAGTGACTCACCCGTTAGGATCCTTCTTTACATATCCTCGCTTTACACCAGGTACTATCTTTTCAAGTGTGTCGACGTCTATATGATTGAGTGCGATTTCTGGCAAAGCACTGCCGTACTGTTCTGCCTTGGTAGGATCGACCTGAGCATAGGCTGCGATCAAGCCAGCGACAGCCTGAGCATCTGTTGGATCCTCCTTGACAAGTTGCTCATAGTCCTCAACTGCTTCTTGGAGACGTCCAGCCTTTAGTTTGAACGCAGCTGTCTGTTTAACGATCGAAGTTGGTGTATGTGTCGAGGCAAAGGAATCATCTGACTTCCAGATGGAAGCTGCCTTATCCAAAGTTTCCATCGCCTTCTCGGGTTGACCTGTTTGTTGGTAAAGCCAGACCAAAAGGGCGACAATAGCAGGTCTATACTGTTCTTGTTTATTATCAGCTACCCCGTTCAAATAATGCTGTAGTGTCTCTAAGGCAGCCTTATGTTGTGACTCAAGCATTTGCAGTTGGATAGCTGCAAAATGAATAGCAAGTGACGTAGGTTTCTTTTCAGCATACTTTTTGAGTTCCTCGATTGCCTTGCTGGCCTTATGTTGGTGATAAGTGGCGCTCGCTAAAACAAGATAGAGCGAGTCGTTATCTGGATATTTATCAATCAATTTTTGTGCTTGATCTCTACATGCAGCATACTACACACAGTACCCATCAGCTTTAAATTACATACATAAAGGATAACAAATACTAACCTTCTTTGCATATAAATGTAACAAACTTTCATTCATTAAGATCACGCGCTTTTGGTAATTTTTTAGTTTAGCATCGGCTTCTTTGCTTGTTGCAAACTTTAATTTTTTAGCTGCATCTTCTACATCCTTTGCTTGGTCAATAACAACAATATTGTTAGAAGCAACAGCTGCAATACTTGTGTCTCTATTGCAAAAAAGGTCAACAAATGAAAATGTATACGAGATAAGGTTTTACTTTGAGTTTAGCACGGATTGATAGATTTTGATTGCTTCCGAGGTGCGTCCTTGAAGCTGGTATGTGTATCCCAACTGAGTTGTGATGACAGCCAGTTCTTGTTCCTGTTCTTCTTCACTCATTGTGCTTGATTTATCCATGCATTGCTCTATAAATAGTATTTCTTTTTAAAAAAGGGTGCAAATGCTTTCATCCTATTAATATTACTCTGAGCTAATTCAAGCTGTTCTTGGGCCTTTGCAATATTTCCTTGCGCCAAATAAACCGAAGCAGCGTTATAAGCAACTTCATAAAGATCTTCTGATCTTTCCTTTACAGGGTCTATTTCCTTGCTTTGATAGGTAGAGAACAAAAGACCTGCCTTTGCAGCTAATAAGTTTACTTGAATTTCGTCATAAAGAACATCTTTTTTATCCAAAGTTTTCAATAGTGATTCATACACTTCAACAGCTTTTTTGAATTGCCCTTGTGAATACAACTAAGAAATCATGAGTATCCTTTTTTCCTAATAACTTAATAGTTTTTTACGAGCTGTGCTTCAAGATAAAGTAAGGAAGGTGACTGATTGCTTGATGACAATTCTTCCAAAAGTTCCATGGCTGGTGCAAATTGGTTTGTACGATAATAGCAATAGATTTTTTCATAAGCCAATTCCTTTGTGTTTCTGAATTGACGAGCAATGAGTGTAAGGGCGTCTCTGTATTTTTCGAGACGAATGAGAGAGATGACTTTAGATTGAAGGACTATTTTATCATCTGGTGTCAATTTTAAGAGTTGATCACAAAGTTCTAAAGCCTGCTGGTCATCTTCACTGTCGATGGCTTTTTTAAGTTTTGTAAAAAGACTAGTTGTTTCTTGTTCCTTTGACGACATTAGTTAAGTAATGTATGCGCGTCAATATATTTTCAAGAAAAAAAAAGACACACTGGGAAGGCTGTCATGTTGCCCAAAAAAAAAGTTGACCCGGTGTTTTAAAATGTGCCCATTTAAAATGCTGCTCCTTTGTTTACACCAAAATACGTTTTGTGTACTTTTTAGTGTTTCCTTTCTGCATCTTGATTCCGTTTTTTCCATGTCCCTTTTTTTGCTTCTTTTTTCTTTTCTTTTCTTTATCTTTCCCTTTCTCTTTCACTTTCTTTATTCTTTTTTCTCTTTAGTTTTATTAAATGTTTCAAAAACCAAACGCAGTTGACACGCCTCGATATGAAAAGCCAAATGCGTATGACGAGGAAGATATGGCGGTGACAGCCAGTCGTCATGGAAGCCGAAGCAGTCGGATGACTACCGATTCCTATTCTAGTCGATATTTTTCATATCCAACTCAAGAAACGCCGAATACTTCACCACCTTCATCACCCAAGACAACATTTCAACATGTCATGACTAACTCTATTCTTAAACAATCATCGCCTACCACACAGACATCATTTACAGAATTGGAAATCAATAAACAAGAAGAACAACGACAAAAAAGTGCTACGCTGCGTCACCAAAGAAGCATGATGTTGTTAAGGGAACAAGAAATGCTCCGGTACTACATTTTACGACACCGTGACATTTACAACAGCGATAGAGAGTTAGTCTATCGAAAACTAAGTTCACGATCATGGACTTACCAACAAAATACTCTAGTGGATGTAGCCAAAGGAAATAAAAAGATTGCCTATGTGAAAAGAAAGACTTTTAACAAAGACTACATCACCATCGAGTTGGAAGGAGAAAGTGAACCGGAATACTTGATAAAGAAACAGTTTACGACAAATACATTGCTATTTGAATACGAAACATACTTTTATGGATCAAAGCTTAGGTGGAAGAGGCCAAGTTTATTATCCAATGATTTTACGTGTGAGATCAAAGTGATATTAAATTTGAACAAAACAAAAGAAGATTATATTGACAGTGACAGTGATGAAGATACAGATCATGACTACCACAGTCATAAGAATTGCAGAAGATGGAAGCTATTAGCAGAGTATAGTGAAGAATGCTTAACCATACAACGTCATGTACTGAGTCAAATAGGTGGTGACAAACGTGATTTATTAGAAGTAAATTTAATAATCACTTGTTGTACATTGATGGATGTGATAAGAAAAGCCTTTTAAGTTTGTTATTTTTCCTCCCTTATTCCCCCTTTTATCTTTATATATATTATACATGAAACAATAAAAAGACTCCCCTCGATGTCAATATGACATAAACTATTATTTTTTATATATAAATCTTTTTTATTTCTTTTTTCTTTTTTTTT